AATCTTCTACAAAGTTTAGCACTGAAAATCGTCTTAGCCCGATATCGAGTGAGAAACATTCGTTCAGCTAAAGTAGTTAACAGGTTGCCCTTTCCTCAGTTAATAAATGCTTTTTTAAATTCTCAAAGGCACTTTGAAACACTAACTTTGTGTTTTAATATCAAACTCACTTGACTGGTATGAGCACGCATTCATTCAGAGCAGTAAAATTAGAGTTTCTCATTCTAAGAGTCTGTCGGCTTAAGCCTCCCCCCAGATGTTAAAAAAGCCATTTTGATGGTAATATTCTTCCATTCTGTTTCTACATTACTCCGACAGTCGTCATCGGCTTTGGAATGCGTGCCATTCTGATGGGTTCTGTAGGGCACATTTATCAGCACGGTCCAAAGAAGGCTGAGAGCGGGGAGCATGGTTCATCGTTAGAATGGTTCAAACGTACGGTTTCAAACTGATTTGAATAGTCTTCAAACTACTCAATCGTATCTCAGCAAAATTAGCCAGACGAAACTATCAACTGCTCAACTGTACTCAGTCACGTGGTCAAAGTTTTGTTACGTCTCTGTCTTACTGCATTACCGAATTCGCACTGCTGGAACATCACGCAGCGTCTTCTGCTGAAAATCTGTCATCATACTCTCGCACAAAACTTCACATATGGCCATTAACTGCACGTTACGCTATATTTGCTTCAGCGTATTTATAAGCCACAAGCCTCACACTCATTAGCCTGGCTAATTACGCTCAAATGGTTACTTTTACTGCGCGATCGTCATGATCGCTCATTCATTTCAAACACAAAACAACAGCCTTTTATTGCTCGGCAAAGCAGAGAAAACCATATGTGAAACCGACATCATGCAGCCACCCTGATGCACATACAATCAGTACACACGCAAAATCAAAACGCTGATTCGTTGGCAGATCGCTATTGGGCGTTTCGATCTGTTTCACAGATTGTTCAGAGTAAAGCTATAGCAGCTGTTATCTTCAAACGTTGCTTTAATGATACATCTACAAAACATGATCTGCTATCATTGTGTGGCAAAGGCAACATCTCACAATCTTACTGCTGATGAACATCGAATTGCAACATGAGATGAAACAGCCAATCAATTCATCGGCTTCCCAAGTAAGCGGCGGTCATCCGGGTGAGGAGAAGGTGCGACTGAATCACTTCGCAAGTTGCGTGGCATTGGCAATCATTTTGATAACCATAAAACGGTCTGACCGTAACAGCACACAAACTTGGCTTGCCGCCTGATCGTCGACTGGCATGAAAGTTTTGGCTCGTAACTCTTTCACCTTCTTTATAGTAATTCTGACAGTTTTCAAATGCAGTTAGTTTCGTGTTCACAGATGCTATCAGCTTGGCGAGAACCATATGCTGTAAACAACGGCACTTACGCCTACCACGGACCATTCTGGACAGATTCAAGGCATGAAGCCAGCAGGCGTTTAGAAGGCAACTATATCAACCCGGATTTTCACACATCTACTATTATCTAACGGTTGCTGTCAACAAACTACGCAAGATAAAGTTGGTCAAGGTCAAGCATAGCAGGCCGTCACTCTCCAGATATTAAGGTAGTCATGTCCACTTGAACCAATCGTGAACTACTCGGCTAACGACGTCTTTTCTAAACGGACAGTAAAACCAGTAGTACATGAAGAGCATACTCGCGAAGTAAAAAAACTGAGGATTGTGAATGCATCACTTTAACGTTCAAAATCTGACAGTTTTTAAGGAAAAAATTGTTCCCTTCTTAGAAGAAGTAAACAACAAATGGGATCTTACACCCAAACGTGCATAATGATTCAAAATGGGTATCTCTGCTGCAGCAAGGCAAGAAAAATGAAAGGAAACGAAACTATGTGATCACTTGGAAGACCGCCTTCTTGATAATTACAAGATTACAAGATTATCGCCTACTTACGATAATTAACACCGTCTGAAAAAATGAACGCGACATAATGGATGGTCACAATAAATTCAAACGGTCTACTGGATCACTGATTTCCCGTAGAAGCAATGCGCAGCCGGTGACAGCGAAATCGCTAGAGATACCTAATGTCTTTTTGCTTGCTTTCAGAGCCAAAAATCCCTACGATTGTGAGGGTGGCACCTCAGATGTGTCCCGTCATCCTATAATAGAGCAAGTGGATGAATTTCAGAATGAATTTTACAACAGAACTATGTCAAATGTAAACTTAATCAAACCATTTGATCATAGGATGCCTACAGCATGCGATGCACATTAATAAAGAGCTTGGTGTTGAAACGTTTTCGCTTAACATTACGATTACTTGCCAGGACCTCTGGAATTATGATCTATCAATTCGGAGACGAGACGACCCACTAGTGAAAATATCTTTGGTTTCTGTCCCAAATATTCTTGAGAAAAACCTCATCACACCAGCAAAACTTCAAAAGAGCTTCATCCCTGAGACGTAATTAATTCGAACAGACGATCGACCAGAATCTTCCAATCGTTACCGAACATTCATGATTACACTAAGAACTGGCGAGTGTGCAGATTGATGCTGCACAACTAACCAGTTTCAAGAAAGATTCTAGCGGCTTAGGGTAAAACATTTTGAGATAGATTATCATTAGAGAGGAATTAAGCGTTCAAAATTCCTAAACAAGTCCGGAAATCGCATCATCTTCCTGACAGTTACCGATTGGAAAACGAAGAAATACATGAACAAAGCACCGTGCTTAAGAAAGCTCATCGATCAAAGAGCAATAGAATACCACCTTCGTTACAAGTCACAGACCAATGGCACAATGGTCTAACGGATGATCATGCGTGAGTGATAACGGCAAATTCGTACGCTAAACTACGGCCAAAATACTTGGCGCATGCGAGATACAGCAGCTGAACAGCTCACACAGGGTGAATATCAGGGCAAGACAAAGGGCAACAGAAAATATTAAGCTTTACGCAGTCAGTATGAACCTCTAAAAATGAATCATGGCAGCGGCCAAAATTGTGTAACAGTGTACGTTGCGATTATCATCATGAGCCGTTTGCATAAGCAGAACGTCTCTGGAGAATGATGTTCACTTCTATACAAGAATTCTGCCATAAGGGGCTGGCTATTGAATCGCAAAACGAACAGTTCCTACCAAAACGCAGATCTGCCTATAAATTGTTCATCCATGTTGCATGATGGCTCCTGGGCAATGTCAATCGCGCTCTGGTTCCAATGAAAAGCTCGCAGGATTTCCGCTCAAGCAGTTTGTCTAGCAGGGCAAACTATCTTTTCCTTGTTCCTGGACCTGTTAGAAATAAATGTTTGGTAAAGAATAGTCACTCTCAAAATGATTCTGCCATTTAGCCATCATTATGAGTAAAAACTCGGTGCTGCTCTACGCTGTTCAACCGTTTAGGTTCTTCGCTAGGACAACCACTTAACTGAACTGTCCATTGTTCCAGCTTCAGTGCGAACTTTCACAAACCTGAACACTGTCCGTCAGCACCAGTTAGATATCTTCAATATAACACAGTGTTGTATTCCGTTTTGATTCTGCTACCTATGATTTACTCCGTGGTAGCTTCCAAATTTATTCTAGTCATTGTATATATAATCACTGTTATCAACTGTTTTATGCTCTCTGATCATTTATCCCATCCTGACTATGATGAAACATACTGTGACCTCTTTAAAGCAGTAAAACTTTCAACCTTGCTGTTCGACTCGTAGATCTGTTATTCTGAATGGGCTCCTCATAGAATGTGACTTTTCGTTTCTTTCAAATAAATCTGCATTTGCACGGTTTGTTTTGAAAGATGAGTTCATCAAAACCCTTGACTTCCAGGCGGTAAGGAAGAGACCCGCTTTCCTAGCTGTCTGGGTACGGAAGCCATCAGTTTTCAGAGCCCACTCGTAGTACAACTCACCAGGCAATATAATCTGCGCACTCATAGTCAGCAAACTAGCTATTCAGACTTTTGATGCGCGCTGTCCCGCTAAAATGAAAGCGCTGTCTTTGCCAGCGTCAGCACTGTTAAACAGCACAAAGTCGGGAACAAAATTGAGTAGCAAATTCGAAAGCTCATCTGCATGACGAATCCTACAGTTGACAGTAAATCACTCAGGCTGTCTTTCTTTGACCGTAACATCAGAAGTAGACTTCGTGTACATCTCAGGTATCCAACAGAATTTTAAGACTTTTCACATCGTTGAATGACGTAGTGACACTGCATCGCCAAGCCCAAGAAAGTGGCAAACCATGGCAACCGGAATCGTCGGCACTACTCGTGATTCTGCGATAAATAAAAATTTGGCCAGAGTGATGGTATCCAATCAGGAAGCAAGCCTGATTTCGACAAAGTACGATTCGGTGTTGTGAATGAACTTAAAAGTACTTGAAAAGCAGCAGTTTCAAGACAGCAACGTCACCGGTCACCGTCGCTGCAGAACAGTAAGTACCGGAAAACGGCAGTCGAGCGCAACCTCTATTTTAACCGCAGCAATGAGTGAGCGTGTGCGCGCGGGCAGCCGACGAGTGCACGACTAAACATCGTTCGTGGTCGGTTCCAAGCAAGCACACGCTGCGCCAGGTACTCATAACCTATTCGAAACAAAACAACACCGACACCAGCATGCATTGTACTGGTCAGACGCTAAATGATCTACCAATTAAATCAACACTAATAAACGAAAGAACGTTCAGTTGCAAAAAGTTGGTTAATTATTACTTGGCAGATTATTCATATAACCACCATCCAACAAAAGATGACCGTCAATCGGGTCGCACAAAGGAGGCATATACCCGGCCAGAGACATGCTAGCCCTGCAGTAGCGCCACAGCGAACCTAGTATAAGAAAAAAACAGCGTAACAGATGTACGCGACTACCTGGAACATTATTGACATAACAGCCGTCCATCAAATAATGACCGTCCACGGGGTCACACAGTGGGGGAAAGATGCCGCTGTAGGACATACTCGCACGGACGTAGCACCACAGTTTTCCTGGTCAGAGACAGAATAAAAGTATAAAATGAGCAGAACGACACAGAAAATCAACGTAATAGATAGCAACAACGACAGATTAGCGCAGCAGCATCCGCGTTAAGGCAAAATAATGCAACATAAGGTTAACAGCAGCAGATCTAAGATGTTAGAACTACGTTAAAAGAAACAATAATGATGGTTAGTAAGAAAAGATACTGGTCGATGTATCACGTCTTAAAAGTTATCGTACATGTATATAATACTATCATTATATGTTCAGGGTAAACGGCGTTTCGGTTCCCCGATACTAGGGTGCAGATGATCGAATAAAAAGCCCTCATTGGTACCATGCAAATGTACACTGTTGATCTGATTCTGCTGCGCACAGGTATATTGTGAGTGGCTGAAATACCATTATGCATTGGATGGCAAGTTGCTAAGGGCCATCCAATCACTGTATTCTGATAGCAGGTGCTGTGTCAGAGTTAATGGC